GATGTAAAAGTCTGCAGAAAACTTATCCTGACATTCTCCTTCCTAAAGATCATCGAACTTTCATTCAACCAGTGGATTTGAGTACAACAACAATCTCTCCCCGTATAATGAATTCCGTATGTGTGTAGTTTATTTACAATACTTATTATTGTGGAATTATAATACTGTTTGGAGTAGAAGAATTAAAAACATTTATACAAAACCATGTTTCTTAGTTTACTCTTTGCGTGTACTAGCTTACTTACTTCAAATGTACATTAACAAATAACAGATGACAGTTCTTTCTGATAAAAAAAATAAATTCTCATTATTTTTCCCACCAAAAAATATTGATTGAAATTTTCTGTTATAACAGCTTTACTAAATCTCAAAATTCTTTTATTGAGGCATTATGAAGTAATAGAGAAGTTACGAAGACATACTTATATCTTGAGTAGAATTTCAGTCGGAAAAACAGTGGAACAAGTACTAGTTCGAATTGTCAGACAGACAAGATAGTCGTGTGAATAAGTATCAGGTCAGAAGTAAAAAAAAATAAGACATTCAGCTTACTGGTTTACGGAAGCGAGTAGTTTAATGAACTCTGTAATACAACTTTATTTTTGTAGATATAGTGATACGATGAGAATTCGAATTTAGTGAAACTAGTATCAACAAGTTTATACCAGACGTCTATAGTAAAGCTTCTTGCTACTTTATATGATCTCTGCACTTTTGACTTCAGTTGTACTCTTTAAATTATCATCTTTGTCTATCTGCTACCCTTATAGTTGATAACGCCCGAAATATCGGAAATTAAATTGATGCGTATTTTTGACACATCCCACTATTATGTTTTTCCATTTTCTTCACGCCTTTTAATTAATTTGCTCATCACAGCGGAAACCGGATGTTTTAAATGCTAATCGTTTTATGTAGGTTTACTTCTTTATAGTTGTCATAAAATGAAGATCGTCTGTCTTACAGAAAGTTACAAGTTATTTATTGTTCACACGTAAATTATTTGGTTTTTCTACATGGTAATTCAAAGCCTGCATAATAAAATTAATATTCATGATCGCTTTATTCCAAGTAATAATTTTCCATATAGAATCGAGTTGTCAGCTATGTACATATCGCAACAATTTATCTTATTTTGCAAATAAATGAGTACTTAAAATATCAAAAATAATCAAACTTCAAAAACTAAAATGTAACAGAAGAATAATACATGGAATAAAGAGTGCCGGTTATGACTAGCTGTTAACAAAGTGAGAGGTAAGTTTACAAAGCTCTTTCCTGACATTTGTCTCTTCACAAAAAACTCTTGCTAAATATAATATAGCAGAAGCTAGAATTCATGGGCCATTAGATTGGGTCCCAGTGGCCTGATGGTCCACGAGCTCGCCTTGTAACCGGGAGGTCCTGAGTTTGAGCCAAGGTGAGTGCATACTGATGAAGAGTCTCAAACTGGGACGAAATAGCTGTCCAGTACTCCCAGGTGGTTCTCCATTGGTTCTCTAACTGATGTCAGCTCACGATTAAATCCTCTAAACAAATATGGTATTGTTGAATTTTTATGTTTTGGTGTATGAGCATAAATTCTTATGAAAATTCTTTTAGTATTGCGTGGAAAGATAAGAAGAGAAACTTGTGAATATGGAGGATAGTCAGTATCAGACAAGATGACTTCAACCATTTGCTTGAGAGAATTAAAACACCTACCGACAAGGGTGTCAGTCAGCTTAGTGAAAGGCACACCAGTAATCCTGCTGACAGCCTTCACTGCCATACGTCATAGGACGTGGTCTTTTATGAGAAGCACAGGGAAGCATAAAACAACAACAGCAGTAACATCAAGCGCCAATCACCATCAACGCGAGGGATTTGAAAGAGGCTACTTCATTCGCTTATCTAGGGAGGGAGCATTGTCTCAACTACAGGAAGTCGGAAAGGGCGAGGATGTCAAGTCGAGCGAGAATCAGGAAGGCGAGAAACACATTCATCAACCTGAAACCAATCTGGAAATCTTTGTCACTCACCATCAACAACAAAATTCGGTGTGATTTTCAATACAAACGTCACGTCAGTTCTTCTATACGGATCAGAAACTTGGCGGGTGGGTCACAAAGAATACTTCCAACAGCCTGTTCCAAACCTTCATCAACAACTGTCTTCGCTGGCTCTATACTGAAGATCAGATGGCCGGGCCGGAAAGAATCACCAACAAGAAACTATGGGAACGAACAAAACAAGAATCAATCGTCCAACAAATATGCAAGAGAAAGTGGAGATGGATTTGACACTCGCTAAGGAGGCCACTGGGTGACATGGCGCGCGCTGTTTTTGTTTAGTGAGTCTGGTGTGCTGCAAGGTGAGGTACTTTCCCCACTTATATTTTTTCTTTCCTTTCGTATGACTCACTGTTTTCTTTTAAAACCGAATTCCAACAAATATTCTAATGATCTGTTAATTTCGCATGTGAACAGGACCTGTGGGAACTGATTCAATTTTCGTAATATCGGCAGCATTGTGATAGGAAATAAACTGAATGTTAACTATGCTGATACAAGTTTCCACCTAAATCTTTGTTGATCGTCTCCTATCATGTTGATTTGTATGAAAATCTTTCTGTGGATTTATAACACGACTTTCTGACATAATCCATCATTTTTTCTTACAACTTATTGATTTTTATATTCTGACCGTTCTTATCTATTATCCCCCCTTATGCTTCCCTGTATTACTGTTCCCTTGGGTTCCTAGTGGAACATAGGGCTTCAACTGCACGTCTCCACTTGATTCTGTCTTCTGCTGTGCTTTTTCATCTGCATCCATGTTAGTCCATACTGTTTCAACTCCTCTTCACACGATCTCATCCATGTCACCCTTGCACTGACGTCCCACTCGCCACATCCCTTTCGGGTTCCACTCGAGCGATGGCCTGACGCACGATATCACCCAGTGGCCTCCTTAGCGAGTGTCAAATCCATCTCCACTTTCTCTTGCATATTTGTTGGACGATTGATTCTTGTTTTGTTCGTTCCCATAGTTTCTTGTTGGTGATTCTTTCCGCCCCGGCCATCTGATCTTCAGTATAGAGCCAGCGAAGACAGTTGTTGATGAAGGTTTGGAACAGGCTGTTGGAAGTATTCTTTGTGACCCACCCGCCAAGTTTCTGATCCGTATAGAAGAACTGACGTGACGTTTGTATTGAAAATCACACCGAATTTTGTTGTTGATGGTGAGTGACAAAGATTTCCAGATTGGTTTCAGGTTGATGAATGTGTTTCTCGCCTTCCTGATTCTCGCTCGACTTGACATCCTCGCCCTTTCCGACTTCCTGTAGTTGAGACAATGCTCCCTCCCTAGATAAGCGAATGAAGTAGCCTCTTTCAAATCCCTCGCGTTGATGGTGATTGGCGCTTGATGTTACTGCTGTTGTTGTTGTTGGTTGGTTGGTTTTTTTCATAACCTCCATATTGTCTATATTCACTTGGAGTCCTTTCTTCACTGGCTGCTTCTTCGACCAGTTTGTCGGTTTTCGCTCTCGCAGATTCCCAACACTTCTATTTCATATCTTCTCGTTTCTGCGGCTACCTGGGCAGCCTTTCCAGTTTCGTATATTTTACGAATATTCCACGTACCCATCTTTACTTTTGCTTCCATCGAAAGAAGGCACATTTGCTGACTCGCTTCCGAAGGCTTTCACCAGCCTGCGTCATTTCACTTCCCCGATTCCAGCGAGAAAAAAGGTTATTGTTTGTACTTTTAGAATTTTCAGTATATTTGTGCGTTGAAGTTTCTGTAGTGATTTGTTTAATTTTTGGGGGTGGAGTTGCTAGCACCACGCCCCAACCCTCCCTCTTTATCTGGGCCTGGGATCGGCTAGAAAACTAGCGAGCTAGTAATCTAGGCGAGGTTCAATGAATGGTTAAAGAATATAAAATTATATATATATATATATATGAACAGAGGTTTGATCAATGAAAAATATACCTCGGCTTCCGTGCCTTGCCCTCTGCTGTGAAATAATAGTCGAACTTCAGATGCCAAGTTCACACACGATCTATTTCGTTAGGCGACATATATCACTTGTGAAATAAAGGCAAACCGATATGATTGATACACTAGATCACGCCACAATGTAGTCAAATGATGTTGAAACTTACGACTCAGAATTTTAATTTCATTCGGTTTAATTGCATGCAGACGAACTTCAACGTGGTTCAAAAGTCTCAAAGATTACGTAAGTTATGCCAGCGGTTCTGTGCCCTATCCCTTACATAGTCATTGGTCAGTATGGGCAAAACCTTCAACACTGAAGTGAATCAAGTTTCCCTTAAGCTATCAGCTGGTAGTGATATTTACTGAAAAATATCTAGAAATCAATAAATTCCTTAAAAAGTAATCTAGTTAAATTTTTGAAAATTTTCTGTGTTGAAAATAAACTATAAGGCGAATATTATTTTCGAGTATTGGGATAAACAATCAGTTTTCTGCCAATATGCCTATCGTTCGAGTTATATTTATATATCATCACTATTGAAGATAAACATCTGTTTACTATCAATGAAACAGATATTTATTTAGTTTCCAATATAGGTATCCATGATCTACTCGAATCTTTTTGTTTACAATGAATACATTGCATTCACTTTATATGAACGGAACTGTAAATATTTCATTATTCGAATTTGAGAGACGTGTTATTATTTTTTTTTCTAAAAGTGAATAAGGTAGTCCTTATGATGTATTAACCAAACCTAAAATTAAAATAAATACCTGAAGTAAACTGTTGATCATGCATTTAGGGAATCAGAATTTATTTCCGTGTAACTTAGCAACACAGTAAACCAACATTAGACGAATAAACAAATATATATATATATATATATGCTCAACTATTTATATTTCTGACACATCTGCTTTCCTAATACTTCCTATCCCGGATTTCATTAACACTAAAATAAGTCTTAACCATCTTCAAAGGATAAAGATTAACCTCTGTACTCATAGATATGGTAGATCAAGAAAAACTGATGACAAGAAAACTCACTGTCATTTTTATATTTGTCATATTTGTTGGACAAAGTGGTTAGTTTATATTATAGAATACAATTTTTAATACTATGTGGTTATTTCTCGAAAAATTGTTAAATATAAATGTAATTATATGAGTGAATCATTTTTGTAGAACTTTTACACAGAATCTTCATGTCAGATAAAAGATGGAATGCCTATAACTAGGCCATTTTGAATAAGCACAGTTATATACTTTTTCATTTTTACCTTCAATAAACATCAGTTTAACATGAAAGTGATTTCTCGGTTTGTCAGAATTCATAACCTAACCGGTGTAGAGTGTCGTGCGGTTATTTCAGGAGAGCGCTTACTGAAATAGGTACTCTACTTCTAGCTAACGGATCCCATAATCAAGTCCCACTAAACCCACTTCAACCTGAACAACTTAGTAATATTATCATGCCTCATAAAATATGTGTGATTTTTATGGCTTGGAACATGCGAAATTTGTTCTGCGTAAGTGGATTTTTAATAACCTTCAAGAGAAACATTTTTCTCAAAAATTGAAGTACACGTAATATCAGCAACATTCCTTGAAATTTCGCTAGACAATTAATAAAGTATTCAGCGTTTATTGACTGACTGTTGGAGATGAAAATTGCATTACAAAAGAAATAACTCAAGTTATTTCAGGCTATTTAAAAGTCTGTGTGATCATGTGGCTAAGACATAATGTTCATATTTTTCAAAACAAAATGGTCATCAACTTTCCAAAGCGCTACCAATAACATTTATACATTTTTATTCCATTCGGTTAGTGCATGTCTTGATTGTCTTTGATGTACTGGTTTTTTACTAGAGTTCTTGCAGTTTATTTTACTGTACGGCACCAGTATTTTGTTTAGCGCAGTAATCAATGAATGAGGTGTGCTAAATTCCTGTCCATAAAATATAGTGACCTTTCTTAAAATTTTGTTTTCATAATTATGTTCATACCTTTTATGATTTTCATGTAAGTTAAAGTTAAACTGTACGGTAAGGATATCCGTAATAATTCTAATTATTTGATATAACTACTATTCGGATAAATGCTTGTCGTAAAATCACCTGAAACGGCTTACGAAAGCCATATACCAGAATTCAGAAATGACTCGAGGAAATTTTATGCGTAATTTGAAAGCATATAAATGAATTCTAGGTAGTAATAGCAGCTTTCTATATAAGTTTGCTTTACGATCTTATAGTACATTAAATTAACAGGCTCGTTCATTCTTGATTCCATTAGTTACATGAATAACTTTGTGTTTTAAATGAAAAATAATTAAACTAAGCGTGGTTTACTTCTTTGGGCTTTAAAAATCAGTAGTTTATTACAAGTTGTATAGCTTAAATAGCAGGAATAATTGAATGGATAAAGTACTTGATAATTTTGTGACACACTGTTATTATTATACAACTTCAGTTTTTCTCATGCATTTAGACACTTTCATGCCTTTTGCAGCCATAAATTACCTTGTCATCATCATATCAGTGTATATGGTACTCATATTTGCTAGAAAGGGAAGTAAAACAACTAATGTAGTGATTTAGGCAGGTCGTTTCATATTTCAGCGTTGTAAATGATAGTTTTAAACAAAATGACACGAGATGATATTTAGCTGTTCGTTTAATTGCTTTCAAAATCAGTTTTTCACACAGAGATGCAAATCAGTTACTGAAATTCTGATAACAAAGAGACTACTTAGCAGTAAGTTGACAGCTTTTATGACCATCAGGTTATGAGATAAGTGCGTCAGTATTCAGTCAGTGCGTCAAGATCTAATAAGCCACTAGTTCTACTTATTATCGATTTATGTCGTTTATCAACAAGAGTTAGGATTTCCTGGTTATTGGGCTCCTCATTGGTGACAACTCCGTCGAGGCGTAACTTTATGATCATGATGGACTCGGTAACTGGTTGAACTATGGTTATATGTAGTTGAAGAATTGCAGTCCGGAATGAAACAGACGTCTAGTGTTTCCTGTTTTCGAGTGATTCTTTTATTACTATTTTCCTCGATGAAATCAACTTGAGTTACTTCAACCTACTCTTATTCTGAGTGATAACATAGTCAAATAGAAGGCTCTTTGAAGCTTCACTTTTGGTAAGATTATGTTCTCGTTGAAGACTGCAAAAATTCCTATCGAGAATATTCTGTTAACCTCTGAAAGAGTCATTATGAAGTGCAGTATTTGAATAGCTCAGGAATTTGATGTTTAGAAACACAATTCAATTTAGGAATTCTCCTTGGCTTAAAACACAGCGTTTTGGCTTGATTTGATTGTGTACTACTTTTCTCCTTCTATACTTATAGTCTACGCTTATCGGATCTACTTCAGGAGAAGAATATTCTAGCTGTTATTCAAAAGCATACTGAATGATGATTAATTATGTGGGATTAACATTAGGCAAGCCAAGATGCATAGGTTTGATGTCTTCTTCACAATCTACAACCTCTGAAGAGTGGTAATTATTTATAGAACAAACACAAATACTACTTGTTTATAATACATTCAGATAATGAAGTGTACAGTTGTGCTTGTAGATTTGAAATATTTCACACAAAATTTCTTGCAGTACTAATAAGACAATTGTGAAAAGTGTTCATGATATCTAGGGCAATCAAACAGAAACATGAAGTCCTCAATGTGGACAGAAAACGATGATTATGCATTCCTTATATACTTCATAAACGAATGATCAAAGAGTTATATCTTTTGCTCAGGTTATAGAATTAACAAAAGCGTGATAAACGAACATACGTGATCAAAATGCATTACTAAGTACGTAGGTCTGTCTGCTATTTACTAGAAAAAAAAGTGCCTTCAAAGTTCCTGAATTTTATTTACACTGTAACAGTAGGAGATGAGAGAAGTGGTAAAGGAAAGATTGTCTTGAATTTTCTATCCTTATATAGGGTAATTATGTATACGTTACCTTCAAATCGTCGTTTGCATAGATCTCCCGTTTTGTGCTACTTCCGCTCTTCGCAATCTGTTTCTTTGTCTTCATTTCGCGTCTCTTATGTTTTCTCGCACTTATGGTTCATTTCCCATCTTTGACGCCAAATCTATCTCTCCACCATTTGATATTTTTAAACCAATGAACGCCTTTTTACATACTACTCATAAATCTTATCAGTAGCGCACGCCAAAATACTAGAGACACTATTGACGGCTCTGAGTTATGGAATCATCTGATTATTGAAACGGTGGTGTTCTGTTCAGTAAATGTTTTAATATTAACAGATATTATATTACGTTTACAGTTAGTTTAAATATAACCTATTCGTTTTTCACGTCAACTTGTCCTAAAGCCTAATAAATATCTCATTCTAAAAGCATCCATAACCTTAGTTACAATTATTTTTTATTATTTGTAAAACATATGTTATAAAATAAACATTTTGAATAATAATTCAGAGGTTAAATGGTGAAGAGTTTCTGTCTTCATAGTGATAACAAGTGCACCATATTTCCATTAAACAACACTCACAGTCCCAAATGTTCATTGTTATTAATTTATTTAATTAAGTGTTTCTTGTTATTAACTCTGCTTAATTTAATATAAATGTAAAATATAAAATTAAAATTGTTTACTGTGGTTGTTTTAATTTAGGGTCAAGGTTACAAGGACAAATTATTTAAACCTTAAAATCCCCCATAAAGTGTTTTTGACTAAAAACTGTTCGTGAATTATTTATCTACGAATTTGAAAGCTTATGATGAAGGCATAATTAAATCCTACTCACAGTTTGAACAGCACACTCTAGACTTGACTTATACAGATAGCTCAATAGCTTAATAAACTCAGTTTATTAGAAACTATGTACAACAGTTTTCTTATGTGAATAACTTCTGTGTAAAGCTTTACATGCAGTTAATTTATCGTCCTATGTTCGTGAGCAACAAATTCTGTCCTAATTGTCATTCCAGTAAAATAACACTGTTTCACTGTAATAAGTCAAATGAATCAGCTAGTATGGAATTAAAACCACTATGTGAATTTCATGCTTTTCTATGTTAATTAATACTGTCTCAGTACCGAAACTTGAAAATAAGAGCATTTTTGAATTTAAAATGTCAGACTTTCAATCATTAAGATTTTCACTAAGCTGTTGAGAAACGACTTACATACCTAGACTCCTAGTAATGCAAAGAATAATGTACTGATCAAAAATCACAGAAATATAGCAATGTAGATGAACTTCACTGCCGCTAAGCATAACTTCTGTGTTTAAATCATTATTCGTTTATTTCTGTTACCTGTTTATTCTTTCTAGTAATAATAAGAAAGAAAATACTTAAGCAGTCTTAGCTGCTATCACACTACAGCTCCAATATTTACGATGTTTTCGGGAGTTAACGAAAGCAAATTAACTTCTTAGCGAATTAGTTCGTCTATTTAGGGATTGGCAGTTCTCTAGATGTGTTTATTATCTGATCATTTTCAGTACAAACTTATAATTGTTTGTTGTAATCTAATTAATTTAGGATAGTTGAATTTTGCACCAGATATCCGAGTTGACACGTCTTTGTTGCTTTTTTTTTCTCCCCAACTCCTTAATCGTATTAACTAATTCATTTACTGATAAATTTATATAATCAAACGAATTTGTTCTAAATCGAATTAGTATAGTCTTTAAATAGACTTTCTGTTGTTTTAGTTTGCACTAAATCCTAATTTTAAATCAATGTAGTCATTCAGAAATGTTTAGTAAATTAAAAATTCATTGGAAATCATGAAAATATCGTTTTACCAAACAGTCATTTTAATTTTGAAGCACTTGAATTGTGTTCGAAAACTCATCTGAAAGAAATAATGCACATTTACTTCAGAGGCGTTTTGATTTGAAAAGAAGGAGGGCTTAAGCTAAAGTGGAAAATTTATGACAGTAAAGAAGGGAAAAAAAGTGGCCATTTATAGGGCAGGAAGTGTTTTCACTACGCTTTTGACAGTGATATAAAAGTTAGCTCATTTCGATTCCATGTGAAACAGTATGATGAATAAATGTGTAGCTAAAGTATTCAAAACGTTCATCATAGTTCTACAAGGATTCTTTTAAACAAAGAAATTCCTCTATAGAACAGTTAGATAGAATCACATCTTTTTGTGTGAACAGCTACGAATGCCGACTGGATTCATCAAAATTTGTTACTCATAGAACCGATTGGCGACATGCTTCCTTGTCGCATTATCCGTATAAAAATCTAAATAAATATTCCGTATCCTCTATATTTGTCGCCATTCAATAACATATTCATAGGAATTACAAAGCTGCAAATAAACAATAATTAATTAACGTTAACTTCATTCATGATGACTAGTTAGATAGAATTTTTATGTGATAAAAGGTGAATAAAAGCTGGCTTTGCAGATATGGCTACATGTTACTAAGCAAGTATTTCCAAGCATTTCAATGGCTCCCATTCACTATGTTGCGTTACCTAGAAGTATGTGTAACTATCTAACTACATAGGTTAATTCTGATTAACTGTACAAACACACAGCTGATCACATGAATATGCATTTTCATTTATGAAAGTATAGCATCTTTTCTTTATTAGTATCTAGGAGAATGAAGACAAACCTCAGTAGAAGAATTTGCTTAATATTTCCACCTTTTTGAGCAAAGACAGTAAGTGGAGGTAGGAGATTCTTATTCCTTGGAAGGCTTCTGAAGTGTATCTGTGATTTACGAGACTGGTTGTTTATCAACCGAATATGACTACTAATACGGTGTGGGTTCCATATCAATGAATCCAACAGTTACGCTGTACAGATGAATTAACCCAGTTTTATTAGAGTGAAAAATGGATCCACCGACTAAAGACACATTAACTTAAATATTATATAACCTGGTTCTCTTAAATACCCTTCAATGTTTTGTCACTTTAGCACAAATATCTGCATGGCGTTGGAAGGGATCGAAGTCTTTGATTTTTAATACTATAGTTAGAGTACAAGGAGCTTTCCGAAGAATAATAAGAAAAATTTAGTTCACTTATACAACACTGTTTCAATAGACCTGTATCTTGTTGGTTTTTTAAATAAATCACGTAGCTTCAATGACATGAACTCAGCAGCATCAGTTGACACAAATTGTCTGAGTTCGAGAAAACTCCATCACCGTAATTTGTTATTTTATTTTAAGCTACTTATAAGTAGTGTACTTGTATCTGTATAATATTTCTATATTGTTGGAGTTGAAATTGTGTAATGGAGATTACAAATGAGATTAACAAAACAACTGCTACTATGTATATCATGTTACTAATGGTTTTTTTCTGTTTATCATACTCATTTTAGGAGCCCAACTTAACTGTTACGTTTGCTCTAGATGCTCGGATCCATTCACCTCCTACGCAATAGGAGTTTCCCTTAGTTCTCAGTGTCGGTTTTGTAAGGTGAGTAAAAATTTGAAATTTTCTAGTTGTTGCGTTATACTGTTTATTGACAAGCTAATGTTTGAATTCTTTCCTTCTAATCGATATTAACATTTAGAAATTATGGAGATTCACAAGTGTTCTATTTAACATTTCAAATTACTACCAATTTATAAAACACTGACAAAGCACCCCTTGCGATTCTTAAAAAGTTATTCAACGAATCTACTTAAATATCCTAACTTCTAATGCCCTGATCAATATCTTACAAAATGACTAACTAAAAAACTGTTCAGACGAGTTTATTTTGTAAGCAGCTCAAACAATGGTGATCGTAATAAGGAAAAAATGTTTTGTCTATACAGCATTAAAGCATTTATTTAACGATAATCTTCAGTATCTCATCTTCAAGACCATGATTCACAACTGAAACACATTTCTCTGAGGATTGTCGGAGTAATTGAGATTACAGGAGTAAATATTGATTGAATCCAACTGTTCGTCATCTGTAAAATTCTCTTGCTTGACTACCATCTGATAGTGATTCCAATCAACTGCTTAAATGCAGTAGACTAATATTTCTCAACGTGCCAGTTAAAAAGAATATAACTGCATAAGCTTTACAGCATGAACCAGTGTTAAAGATGAATGGCTGATCCTAAACTCGTTACTCGAGATTATATATATATATAATTACTCTATCTCGTTAATAAATCAGCTAACGCATTCTGCCCTTCTTGAAATACGTATTCAGTCACTTGTGATGTACACAGTGAGAGTTCCTTGATAGACATTCATTTATTTAACCAATATGCATCTAATTTAATACACTTCCTTAGTTCTTGTCGTTTTTCATATCATTATAATAAAATTACTTCTTTTGCTGTCTGTGACTTTGATGTTATCTTGTAGGCAATATTATAACAAAGAAACTGCTTCAATTTATTGGATATATCACGCAGTGGAATAGTATCATTTACTCAATGACGTCTCAAACACAATTCATTCTTCATAATCATATGAGTTGTAACTGCACAACTTCGAAACTCAACGTTTACAGTAAGGGTAGTATTATGTTCTAGGTGTCTGGGACAGGTGTTGAATCATTCCTACTGCACGTATTTTCAATTGACTAGCTAGGTATTATGTTGCATTATGCTCCTTTCCATACCAAACCTAATACTAAGCTGTAACATCCTGGGAGAATCAAACAAGCCTTGGATGCTAAATTTCGACGGGAACAGGCTGGATTCAGGAGAAACAAGTCATGCATCGATCAAATTGCAACACTACGTATTGTTATTGAACACAGCTTGGAATGAGAATCAGCTTTCTACCTCAACTTCATCGACTTTGAAAAGGCCTTCGATAGCGTCGATCGAGAGGTGATTTGGCAACTACCTCGCTACTACGGGGTGCCATCGACAATTATACATCTCATCCAACGGTTATACGTCAATGCTGCATGGCAAATAATCCACAACGGGAAACTTACGGAAGCCTTCGAAGTGAGGACGGGAGTGAGGCAAGGCTGTCTACTATCGCCAATGATCTTACTGATAGCAGTGGATTGGATAATGAGACAGACAACGGGTAATGAGGAAACAGGCATAAAATGGACTCACATAAAAATAGAACTTGGAGGATCTGGACTTCGCCGATGATATTTGTCTGATTTCCCACAAACTGGAAGATATGCAAGTGAAAAGCAACAAGCCGGAGACAGAAGAAGCATCAAAGATAGGAATTCAGGTGAACGTAGGTAAAACAGAGGTGATGAAAATTCCTGGCCAACACCAACAGCAACAACAACAGACGACAGTCAGCATAAATAGGAGGAACCTGAAAGAAACAACCTCCTTTACCACATACCTGGGAAGCATCGTTTCAACTACAGGCGGACGGAACTGACGAGGATATCAAAGCCAGCATTAAAATAGGATCCGGATTTTAAACTCCAATGTGAAGTCAGTGCTACTTACGATATGGATCAGAGACCTGGTGCGTCACGAAGGTCACTTCGGACAAAATACAGGCTTTCATCAACATTTGTCTTCGCTCAATACTCAAGATCAGATGGCCAGAAAAGATCAGCAATTGTGAAGGATCTCTGGGAGCGAATCAACCCAACAGGAACCGATTGTGCAATAAATATGCCGGAAAAAATGGAGGTGGATTGGCCATACTCTGAGAATACGATCAAGTGAGTGACATCACACGTCAGGTCATTGCTCGAGTGAAACCCGAACAGGAAGCAGAGAGTTGGTCGTCAGTGCGATGGTAAGGTGGAGGAGGTGATGTGAAGGGGAGGTGAAAGCAAGTGGGCAGCCGTGGAACCAGGTGAATACATTGGCAGAGAACCGGATCCAATAAAGATGTACGGCTGAAGCCCTATGTTTTCCTAAGAACTAAAGGAAACAATAATAATAATCATAGATAGGTGAAGCATCTGTAGATACAATCCAATTCACTGATCTTAAGTTGGGATTTTACGAAAGGGAGCTTCCAGTTTTACATAGCATTATAAAAAGAAATAATATGAGCAGTTGAACAACAGTGCTTACATAAAACCCTCACAATTAAATCGTTTATTGGATTTTGCTTCATTCTACCCGATTGTCAAGTAAAATAGGTTCAATGAAATGCTAATATGATAGTGAAAACAATTGAAAACCACTAAGAAACATCTACACCCAGAAGTAAGATATAAGAGAAATTTTAGCACTTAATACTTACCCAGATAAATTAAGCAGGAAGCATACGGGAAATTATAAAGATGAAAATAGTAATAACAAAAATGGATAATAAATATAAACAAAACGATGACAGCATAATGATTAAGAAGTTTAAACCACGACCTGTTCTATAATACAAAGAGTAAACTTCAGGAGCCTTGAGCAGTATTCATGAAAATTAAGGGATAAAAGTGGCGTTCAAATCACTTGGTAACAAATCATGAGCCTTAAAGGATCCTGTACAGCCCAACAGACATAACAGTTTGACTTATCTAATACCCTGCATTGGCTGAGAGGTAAAATACATAGGTCGGAGGAGTAGTTCAGGGTGAATTAGATTAGCGAGGCACGAAAGCTCAGCAAAATCTAGACTAGTAAGCCTTTACAAGGTAATAAATTTGGAAATAAGTTCAGCTACAGCACAACATAAAGCCATGAGAGGATGCGACAAAGTGAGCCTTGAAATTTGGTGCAGTGGGGATGAGGGAGAGATTTACAACTGAAGGTACACATACTGAGTCAACCGTAAATACGTGCAGTAGGAATGATTCAACACCTGTCCCAGACACCTAGAACATAATACTACCCTTACTGTAAACGTTGAGTTTCGAAGTTGTGCAGTTACAACTCATATGATTATGAAGAATGAATTGTGTTTGAGACGTCATTGAGTAAATGATACTATTCCACTGCGTGATATATCCAATAAATTGAAGCAGTTTCTTTGTTATAATATTGCCTACAAGATAACATCAAAGTCACAGACAGCAAAAGAAGTAATTTTATTATAATGATATGAAAAACGACAAGAACTAAGGAAGTGTATTAAATTAGATGCATATTGGTTAAATAAATGAATGTCTATCAAGGAACTCTCACTGTGTACATCACAAGTGACTGAATACGTATTTCAAGAAGGGCAGAATGCGTTAGCTGATTTATTAACGAGATAGAGTAATTTATATATATATAATCTCGAGTAACGAGTTTAGGATCAGCCATTCATCTTTAACACTGGTTCATGCTGTAAAGCTTATGCAGTTATATTCTTTTTAACTGGCACGTTGAGAAATATTAGTCTACTGCATTTAAGCAGTTGATTGGAATCACTATCAGATGGTAGTCAAGCAAGAGAATTTTACAGATGACGAACAGTTGGATTCAATCAATATTTACTCCTGTAATCTCAATTACTCCGACAATCCTCAGAGAAATGTGTTTCAGTTGTGAATCATGGTCTTGAAGATGAGATACTGAAGATTATCGTTAAATAAATGCTTTAATGCTGTATAGACAAAACAGTTTTTCACTGTGTCCAGGTTTTTCACATACGTTGCACTTATTTCGCTTTAATGGCAAAGGTGTTTTCTCACTGGTATGGTAGTACACAAGATTTTTCTATTTAAATGGTTCACTGGAGTTCTTAAATCTATCGACTGGTTTGTAAGCATTTGTAGTGGTGTACATTTATACTGGTGAACAGCTCAGCATAAAATATTTTCTACCTGTATACACCTACAATTCTGGCCCTTTAAATAATACATTTCTTTTTTCTCACATCTTTCGATTTCCCTGTGTAAATATGTATTCAGTTTGAACGGGGTAATATTCATACTTGAAAATAAGCTATTTCAATTTTAAGAGTATTTATATTTCAGTTAATAAAAATTACTCTACACTATTCTGTAAAACCTACGCACTAAGGGTTATTTTTCTTGGTCATTGGTTTCAGTTAATAATGATTATTTACGTAACATAGACATTTTTTATCACACAATTGTTAATTTGAACAAGGGTCACAACGTGAACATAACGCATAAAAAAAAACATATTGAGAGAATCTACCATAAAAATAAGAATTGAAGATAAATATGAAGATATACAAGTAGGATTATAATAAATGTTATGATAGATTTATTGTCCTCTTAGATTGCTTACTATGGCTTTAAGTTCGGTAAAGAGGTCTTCACCAAAGGTGTTTCAAAAGTAACAACACTAACAAAGTTAATCAAGTTGAGTAAGCCAGAAAAACAACCTGAACAAGAGACAATTCAGTTACTGGTCTATTCTCTCCATTACCTGCATACTATTGTAATATCGTATTCACCACAAATGTCACTAACCAAGAGTAACAGGAATGTTGTGATAGTCTGTTTTTGTCTGCGTTTCTCGAGTAACTGCTAATGTTGTGTCGGAAGTTACTTCGGTGAACACAATCTTACATAAATCAGAAATAAAAGCATTCAACATAATAATTCCTGATGCTATAGTATTAATAAGTTTTTGAACTGGCAGAAGTTAGAATTGATAGACCATTGGATCCGGTCCCAGTGGCTTAATGGTATACGAGCTCGCCTTGTAACCAGAAGGTCCTGGGTTCGAAACCCGGTGGGTGCGTAATGCTGAAGAGTCCCAAACTGGGACGAAACAGCTGTCCAGTACTCCCAGGTTTTCCAATGGTTCTCTAACCGATGTCAGCTCATGATGAAATCAACCAAATCCCTACAAACCAATACTTGAATTCTGTTACTTCAGTTTTCCCGTTTTCTAGTATGATCTTAACAACTCCATTTCAAGATTTTTAACATTGGTTAAGTTTTACAATTCAGGTATAGTTTCCCCGGTTAAGCCTCTATAACTTAGTAGAAAATTGTGATCTTAAACAAAAAGTATTATAGTTTGATGAATTAATTACTAAGCAGTGTGAACAGCTGTATTTTATTATTCATTCATTTTGATTCTATTCCTTCACGTTCCCCAGTGGAGCATAGGGCTTCAAGCTAGAGCTTTGAAGTTTTGGTAGCAGTGGTTTTTATTTTTACGGGATGGTGTTGCTAGCCTCATTCCCAACCTTCTGTCTTTACCAGTCCTATTACTGGCTTAGCGAGGTGAAGGAGTGCGTCGGCCAGCGATCGAACCCTGGACCACATGTGTGGTTGGTGAGCATTTTACTCCTGTGCCACTGATGCGTACTATATGCTATAAAATCGATTTACCAATTTTTACTAATTGAGGGATATTCAGTGGACTCTCATTTGCGATAGTAAAATGAATTACTGCTAAACTTTTCAAACTGGAAACAAAGCTATCTGGAAGCAGATCAAACGGGTTTATGAGTAATTGTTGAGCAGAAAATTTCAAATTGTTCAAACCCCAGTACTAATCTGATTCCATTGTCAGTGGCTATATAAGCTCCTTCAAGGCTTCCTTATGCCTTACTGAATTTCATCAGCGTATACCATATAGAAGCCTAATACTTTCTACAAACTGTCTCTTTCTGCCACCTAACAAATAGAAATTCTGTGTTATGTAATTCATTTGGCATCCAGAAAATGTTATTAACAGTAAATGAAGACATTAGTTGCTGTCCAATAATGAATATGCATAGCTAGTATTCCCTCTTACTCCACTATTCACACACAGTGAGTAAATCCCAATAAAAATTATCTACTTATCCATAACATAATTAATTCTATTTTGAAAAATTGGAGAAGATTTGTAGCTCAGGTGGATAATATTGAATTAATTGTGTTCTCTGAGCTGGTTGATCTAATTATTATTATTCGTTATTTTTTTTATTATTTTTGATTACAGCTTGATTCCACATCGTAGTTTTGGTACAGGTATGGAATTTCCAGCATGTGACATCGGTAGCCCAAATTTTGCAGGCCAACCGTAGATATCAGGTGTGCCTCGGCAGAGGATCGAACCCCGGACCATGTGCATGGTTAGCGAGAGTCATAACCTCTGTGCCACCGACGCGAAGCTTTCGTCGTCCACCTTCTAGATAACATCTGAAGATGTTATTAATTCAATAATTCTGTTTTCCTAAAAATGATTATAAAATTATTGCATCGCTTTACTGTTTGTATATGCATATTGTCTATGGAAAAAAACAAGTTCACATTGAGAAAAACCTAACAAATATCTGTGAGGTGCCAATCTACCAATCGATATAAACTAAAATCTACTCAGCTGATGCCAAATATTTTAACTGTAACTGACAATTTTCAACATTAGTTCATAATACTTTGTTTGTAGAACTCCTTATCGCCCCAGAACATTTATAACTAGTGAACTCTGATTTTACGCACTTGTGTATTGATGACAGTCAGTATAAAAAAGGTGTCAGTATCTATCGTGTAATCACTAAATCTTAAAAAGACATTTCAGGCTTTAATGAAAATTTTTGTAAGTGCGTAGTAGCAATGTCTTTTTAAGGTTTTTTAAGGTTTAAGTGATAATGCTACTGAAAGAAAATCCATTTCTAATTCAAGCGGTAATGTGTTCACTGTAAAATTGTTGGATTCAGTTTTGATGCATTCATTGGTGAGTTCTAGTGCTAGACAGGTGCACTGATCCTTTCAGTGACACCATATTTTTTCTTACAGTTTTATCTCGAGAATTAAAAACCTCAATATTAGTAAATATGCACAAATCTGGACATGATATAAACACTGGCCAGATTCAGATGCCATTAATTCAGAACTGAGCCTCAACTTCCATAGGGTTCAGTGAAGATAAAAATGATACATTGGGCTCTACAACACCTAAACTGTGATGCAAACTTAAGAAAAATTGCGTTTGTTACCTAGGGAAAGTATATTCAGCAGTCAAAATGAAAGTAAAGCCCAAACAGAAGTGTTCTTTCTTATTTCTAGTGTAAATTCGTATGCGAAGCAAGTTGTGAAAGTATTTTCATTGTTATGACAATAAGCTAAAAATTGCTGCTTGCTTAGGTGTCGAAAAAAATTTCAGATTCAGCGCTATGAAGGAACTTCAGCACTGAGTATGTAATGCTTATTATTACTAGAAGTTTGTATTGGAAAGTGAATGAAAGATAAAAGGAAGTTGTTGTTATTATAATTTTCAACTAACTTTCTGTTATTTACTACTACTTTTTTCATAAGATAAACACATATTGTGTTTATAATTCATGCACTTATCAAATCTAACAGTCTACTTTTGGTGGAGTTACAGCACTATGTAAGGCAAATTTTATATATATTGTAGTTCGCTGAAAAAGCTATCAGAGGTGAATAGTGAGACGTCAGTAAGAAAACGTTTTTGCCTTATATTACTTCAGAGATATTCATGAAAATAGATTTCACTCGTATAAATTTATCAGTCCAATCAGATACCACACATTCCATTATAGGTAAGATTTTATTTTGATAAATCGCACAGTGTTTACAGTAATGTTTACAGTAAACATTACTGTAAACACTGTGCGATTTATCAAAATAAAATCTTATCTATAATGGAATTATACTCTACCACAGTGCCCAAGTTTTATACTTATATCAAGATGCCACACATATTAGCTAAAAGCACTGTCATACTAGTAGACAAGAGCGTAACACTCAAATAATAATCCCTTTAAGTAAAACAAAATAAGTCTACATACATGACGCTACACACTACTGACCGATCGGGATGAGTAGCCGAATGCCACTCACACTAACCAGTATTGTTAGCTAGATAGAGCGAGTTGATCTAAACACCAGGCTGCCATTTATTTCGTCGACGGTGTACCCAGCTTTACTCAGCTCAGAGAACCGAATTCTGCCTAGTTACTTCGGTAAACTTACCTCAAGAAGACTTCACCATGATAGCTTTAAAACCAAATTATCCTAGAAGAAGTATACTGTATCGTATACAAGTATACTAATAATCACATTATAAAATATTTTATACTCGTCTTTCGTTATTCTTTTTTTTCCAAGACTGTCTTCATATATGATGAAAAAATGGTGAAATTCCATATCGAAAAGTCGTGTGGTAAAGTGAATGAAAGTTGTGTGCATAGATTTGATGCTTGGCATAATGAGACAATGGAGGAAGACTGTTGTTCAACAGATTTGTGCAATTCTTCTCATACACTATCAAATTCACTATCACTTCAACTTTTTTCAATTTTCATTACATGTTTATCTATTTCTACCATTAAAATAATAATCTGATTATAATATAACACTTAATAACAATAACAACAACAACAATAATAATAATAATAATGAATGAACGCTTTCACTAAATAGAATCAGGATTTCTTGTTATGAGAAGTGTTATTTTTTGTTTTCTTTTAGTGAAACTTTTACTCTTATATATGCTTTCACTATTATTATTATTATTGTTGTTATTACTACTACTACTATTATTATTCACCTCATCATTTGCAAATATGTAATCTCATATCGATTTTTTTCATTGTTTTAATTCATCAGTGTATCCAGTTGCTTAATATAAATCTCGGAAAACAAATGAATAAACACGTATACCGTATTATTTTGTTTGTCTGATAAAGAAAAATAAATTATTTAATGAAAAAAATCAACTGTATGTAAATAGTCAGTCACAAAAAACTTGTAGGATCTGGACTTCGCCGATGATATTTGTCTGATTTCCCACAAACTGGAAGATATGCAAGTGAAAAGCAACAAGCCGGAGACAGAAGAAGCATCAAAGATAGGAATTCAGGTGAACGTAGGTAAAACAGAGGTGATGAAAATTCCTGGCCAACACCAACAGCAACAACAACAGACGACAGTCAGCATAAATAGGAGGAACCTGAAAGAAACAACCTCCTTTACCACATACCTGGGAAGCATCGTTTCAACTACAGGCGGACGGAACTGACGAGGATATCAAAGCCAGGATCGGAAAAGCAAGACAGGCTTTCATTACCCTTAAGTCTGTGTGGAGGTCAACTGCACTCACCATCAAAAATAAGATGCGGATTTTCAAATCCAATGTGAAGTCAGTGCTACTTACTATACGGATCAGAGACTTGGCCAGCGCGTCATAAAGAGCATCTCCAACAAACTTCAGACCTTCATTAACAGCTGTCTTCGCTCAATATTCAAGATCAGATGGCTGGCCAGAAAAGATCAGGAACAGGGATCTATGGCAATGAGCGAACCAACCAGGAACCGATTGCGAAACAAATATGCGGGAAGAAATGAAAATGGATTGGCCATACTCTGAGGAAACCATCAAGTGACATCACTAGACAAGCCATAGCTCGAGTGGAACTCGAAAGGGAAGCGGCGAGTTGGTTGTCAGTGCAAGGGTGACTTAGAGGAGGTCATGTGAAGAGGAGATGAAAGCATGTGGGCAGACTTGGAGCAGGGTGAAAAAGTTGGCAGAAAACAGAAGTCAATGGAGACGCGCAGCTGAAGCCCTATGTTCCTCTAGGAATTAAAGGATATAATAATAATAATAGTAGTAAATAGTCAGTCAAATAACAGGTTAACTATTTCTACAGTGACACTGAAACGCCTACCATCTTTGTTTATCCGTATACTCTAGAAATTATACGTCTAATACAAACATGTCTAAGTTTGTGAACGGTTATTTAGCAATGAGATAGCAGTAACTATTGCGTACATTAAGTTAGTGTATGCCTTCATGTAGAGTAAGCAAGAAGCTTGTAAGTGATAAAAATTTAAAGACAAAAATTTAAAGAGATTGCAGTTTCTGGCTGAAATCAAATTCTAACAAATCAACTCTTGAAAATTAATCTGATGCTCACTAGTGACTTGCCTGGAGTTCTAGTGAAAAATTCGTGATCATTAAGGTCCATTCAGTCGAGAGAGAGAGAGAGAGAGTAAGGATGAAGTTCCCACCGATGACATTGGTTGGTGGTCACGAATCAGTTGAAGTTAGAATTCATGGAGCATTGAATCGGGTCCCAATGGTTGAACGGTATACGAGCTTGCCTTATAACCGGAAGATTCTGGGTTCGGAACCTGGTGGATGCATGCTGCCGATGAGTCCCAAACTAGGATGAGACAGCTGTCGAGTACTTTCTGGTTTTCAATGGTCTTCTAATTTATGTCAGTCTGTGGTCAAACTCGAAAAACAAATCAAATCGTTACAAATCAACTCTCGAAAGTTATAATTGAGTAAAAGAAAAACAAGTTAACTAGTCTCAAATATTGTTGAAGGTTTTACTAATGCAGTAGAAGATACTGTCTGCCTTTGACCTAAATGTTTGACATGTGTTGTCTGCTAAGATGCAGTTTTATTCCTTTGCCTTCTTCCACTTTCTCAGACTAGCTGGTATTTCGATTTCCAATAATCTGTCCTTGTTTTTAATGGCTTCTTTTTCTCAAACAGATAATAGTACAAGCAGATTTTTTAACAGCTGGTAAGTTATCGTTGCTTGGTTGTTGGTTATATATGTAGTCCAGTGTGGTTCAAACCTTTTGTCTAATATGTACAATCTCATGACGGGATTGGTGGTATTTTATAGTCAATTTTTATCCAGACTATTTTTTGTGACTTAACTCTTTGACATGCAGGTTACAACCATAGAGATGAAACCAATAATAATAATAATAGTGATAATGATATGTTTTAACAAGTAAAATTATTTACATTAGTTATGACAAAGACTTGCAATTGATAGTGTTCTCTGAGCTCCTTGGTTTAATTGCGGAGCTTTCATCGTCTTTCTGGACGACATCTTCAGTGCAGTATTTAGGATAAAGTGAAATGATTTAAATTTCTTCATGAGTCTCCCGGTAACTATCAATAGAAAACGGTCAATAAATATCTAAAGATGGTTACCGGGAGACTCATGAAGAAATTTAAATCATTTCACTTTATCCTAAATACTGCGCTGAAGATGTCGTCCAGAAAGACGATGAAAGCTCCGCAATTAAACCAAGGAGCTCAAAGAACACTATCAATTGCAAATCATCCACCTGAGTTACAAATCTTTTCTATTATGACAAAGACTGTTGACTGGTGAGTGAAATACTACTAAATAACCAATAATCCAAACAACTTGGACTTTGTATCTACAGCATCCTTTGGATGATAAAAGAAATCAAATAAGCGGCTAATAATTTCTCAAGCCATCATAGTTGTGTAACAAGAAGGTTTACACAACTCACTTATCAATTACAAGTTTCTTATGTATTAAGCTATGATCCATGCATTATTTTTGAATGCTTCTGAAACTAAAACGATGTTCAAGCCAAAACAATATGCAGTGGGATTCAGACTCAAAAGTCACTGAAATGCAAATGCCTAGGCCAACGAACGATACCTTTTAAGAAAGCAGAACTTGTATTTTCATCCTTTGTCAATTCGAATTTTTTTTTTCACTCGTCTAGAGAAAACCCTAGACCTGGTTTTCTTGAACGATCGTGACATATACGAGGTGCGAAGGAGAGCTCCAGTGCTGAATTGTGACCACTGTATCATCCGTATTTTACCGAAAACGTATGGCAAGTTACACAGAAAAGGCTTCGTTCACCTAATAAAGAAAATCCAATTCACACGACAATATTCAAGCACTTAGCTGTATGCTGTATGATACTGGTTGGTACCTATTCTTTGATGAAGTGTTAGACGTTACTATCTCTAATATCACCTCTGATTTCAAGTTTTGTTTAGTCATTTGCTGTCCCAATTAAACACCCTTAACAGGATTCGATAAGATCTCTTTTCCACAACTAAAAGGCTTAGAAGAAAAAAAGAGAAACTGTATAAATTGACATGACAATGTAGGTGTTATAACGATAAACTCACTGGTGAAGTCTGATATACAAAGACTGAAAGGGATATATGATGAAAATTTATTTCGAATATCTGGAAACTTTTTAATAAACTTGCAAGGAGAAAACAAATTCCAGCTGATGTATATCCACATGTAAATGCCTTAAATAGATCTTTTATAATGTAACAGGCGAATATGATAGGAACTGATGTTTCTAATCACGTAAGTGATCATTTTCCTGGTTTTGATGAAAAGGATGCGTCAGTGGCATAGCGGTTAGCACGCTCGCCGACCATGCACATGGTCCGGGGATCGATTCACGGCCGGCGCACTTCTTTACCTCGCTAGACCAGAAATAATCTTGGTAAAGAGGAAAGGTTGGGCATGAGGCTAGCAACCCCATCCTGTAAAAATAAGCACCGCTGCTACACAAGCTTCAAGCCACTAGCTTGAAGCCCTGTGTTCCACAGGGGAACGTGAAGGAAAAATTATTATTATTATAATGAAAAGGATGTATTTTCGTGTCTTAAATCCTTAAGCCCATCACACAGGCTAGGACCAGATGGTTTAACAAGCGTTTTGCTTCAAAATTGTGCTGACACTTTGTGTTATCCTCTTACTCAAATCTTTAGTGCATCGTTTCACAGACATACAGAACCTGTTGTCTGGAAGAAAATAAAGGTGGTGCCCATACCAAAGTCATCTTCTGGATCAGGTTTAAAGTTTAGGCTATTCGGCATCACGTCTCCATTTTTGAAAACTATGGAGGAACTTTTCTTGCGTATTCTTGAACCTTCTTAAAAATCTTTTAATGACCCAAAGCGGTTTGCTTACAGTTGCAGTGGAAGCCCATTAGATACTGTCACTCTACTCCATCACAATATTGCTTCAATTCTTTATAAAGGTGCGAAGTTTGTTCGAGTTTCCTTTTTAGATTACACTGATGCTTTTGACTTTGTTCCTAGGTCATTTTTACTAGGCAAGCTGATTTCAGCAAACACTGAGTCATGGGTCACAAGGTGGCTGTCTCCTTATTTTTCGAGTAGAAAACAACATCCAGTTTTGAATGAAAAGCACTCCACCCCATTGCTGACAGAAATTGGTGTGCCTCAAGGCTCTGGCTATACTTTCTACACTTCTCTTTTCTTTCTTTTTGTGTGACCTTTCATATTCTTACAAAGCTAACTTCGTTAAATATGACGATAGTCTCACCATTTCTGTGTCAGTAGTTTCGGCTTTGGATTGTCCTCATATGAATAAATTGTTGTCTGAAGTTAGCAAATGGTCTCCCGTAAATGGTCTTAAACTAAATCCATCTGTCATATTGTTGACTTTGGTTTCAGATGCGAACAAGACTTGCGTGAACTGATTCACTCTCATGATTCCTGTAGTATTGACGATACTGTGATAGGGAGCAAATCAAATATCTCTCATCCCGGAATCAGTTTCTCT